TACCATTTTTTTAATTTTTTTATGTTTTTATTTTATTTTTTTCGGGTACATGATGCAACCCCATCCCACAAAATCATCCATGATTGTGCATAAAAAGAATATAAAGACAATATAAACATAATATATACACAAAATATAATAAACAATTAAAATCATCACAACAGAGTTCGTAATGGAGCCATGAGTCCGGACTATAAATTCAAATTTTCAGCACAATATATTATATATGATGCCTAGTTTTAATGTATGGCTAAACCCGTTCAACTTATGAATCATATCCATTGTATGAATACAAAACATAGCAGAATAAACAAAATAATAAATAAATTGAAAATGAATACAAACATTTCCGAATAAGCAAAACAACATTTATTAACATTGAAAAATTACAAATTCATTTATTTGACACATACATCGCAATAGATCCTTCTAGTGTTCTATCAGAAAATCATCCAAGCCTGTGAATTGGTTTTATTCCTGCTCACCTTTAAATATGCCTAGATATGCACACACGAAAAATACATCAAATGACATCCACCCCCCCCCCCCCAAAAAAAAAAAAAAAAGTAATATATGACTAATTTGTTAAGCATGTATACTGTTTAATTAAGGAGATACATGTATTTTGCAAAGAGTGCCCCCAGCAAACGACCAAGACCAAAAAAATAAAAATAGTAGTTACATGCTTATATGGATGATGAATCAAATCCTAGAAGGAATCATGGGGGTGGTGTTTTGTAGGTAAGCACAAGCTGCTGTGACTCCACTACCGAGTTTGACTGGGTATCCAACTTCCTTAAGTATCATTTCCACTCCAGCAAGACAGCCCAGCAATTGCAACTACATTCAAGTGCATAAATCAATGAACTAGTCCGAGGAGCAAATCCTTTTCAAGCAGGTGTGTGTGTGAGTCCGGATCCTCTGCCGTGATTTCCTACAATGGTCCCTGCGGTGGTGCCAAAACAACAAAAAAAAATTTTCTTCTTTTTTGCTTCCTTCTTTCTCTCTCAAACATTTGAGAACCAAACCTAACAAACAGAGGAGATCAAAAAAACCAAACAAACAGAGAGGCGAGAGAAAGAGAGGAGGAGGAGGAAGAAGAAGAAGAGAAGACGCCGAGAGATGGAGGAATAGGAGAGGAAGAGGATTGAAACTATTTTCCCCTTTAACAATGGAGTTCACAGATTTACCCAAAACCCAGTACCAATTTCTGACCCAGGTCCTGCGAAATCAATCCCAACGAAAACCCCTACCCTCTCATCGTGAAACCCTTGACGTCGCCCCGCCTTCGCTGCCGGAGAGAGAGATTTCATGTGAAGTGTTTGATAACAAAAACATCTTCATGTACAGGTTTGTCCCATTCTCTCTCTCTCTCTCTCTCTTCTTTTGAATTTGAGAACCCTGTTATATGCTTCTCTCTGTTTTTTTTATGAGAAAGTTGAATTTTCTGGGAAAATTTTGTTTAATCACAGAAAATTCTATATATGTTTGAGGAAATTCCAATTCTTTTTGCTCTACAAAATATGGGCTTACTAATTGGAGATGGGATGGATGTGGAGAATCTAATTTTGTTCACTGTGTTTGGATGTGGAGAATCTAATTTTGTTCACTGTGTTTGGATGTGGAGAAAACTGAGTCAAATGAAAGGGAAAATTTGTAGTGTATGTTTCTTATTTTGGTCTCTGGAAATTGAGAAACTGAAAAAAAAAATATATATATATATATATATATTTTGATTGGACCCAAGAGAGTTTGCTCTCAATATGGGAAATTCGAACCCAACATTTTAATTTGATCTATTAATCATTAGATTTTCTTTGCAATCAAACAGGATTGAATGTTTTGTTCTCTTACAAAATTTTCATCTTTGTTTTTGGGGTTATTCAAATTTGTATGATTTGCATAGAGGACACTCCATTCTGTAGTGAAGAGTGCAAACAACAGGCCAATGAAAAGAATTGGAAGATCTCTGCTTCCATAAAGCCTTGAGGATTGATTAGAAGAAACCCAACAAACCCTTTCCTTATGTGTCTCTTCTTTCTCTCTTTTGTTTTTGTTTTCTTTTTCTTTGGGCCCCAAAACGACGTCATTTTGGGGCACCGCAGGGACCATTGCAGAGAATCACGGCAGAGGATCCGGACTCGTAAACTTTGGGCCATATGTGTAAAGTCCATATATATATGTTTTTCTTCTCATTGATTTTTAGTAAGATTCATTTCTTTTTATAATTAACTATGTTTAAGGAATTAACTAGTCATTTCATAATTCAAGGGATTTTAATTGATTTATAATTTAAGGAATTTGTTTGATCAAATCCTTGATTTATTTTGTCCTTACTTTCATACTAGGAATTATATATATTTTCTCTTATTGATTTTCTGTCAGATTCATTTCCTTTTGTAATTAACTATAATTAAGGAATTAACTAGCAAATTCATAATTCTAGGGATTTTGACTAATTCATAATTCCTTGATTTATTCTTACCTTTTCTTTCAGACTTGGAATTATATATATATACACATATTCCTAGTGGTTTAAGATACATAAAAAGTTCTCCTTTCTTCTCTATTTGTCCCACACAGTTTCTTGGTTTTTTTTGGATTATTTCTTAGACATGATTATCAGAATCCCGATCCGGATCTTACGATCTTACGATTCATTTGAGTATAATCGATCCGGATCGTATAAAAAACTCCTTATAGGTAGGATCTTTCAATCCTGGTAATGGGATCTTATAGGATCGTAGAATCTCGATCCGAATCCGATCCTATCCGATCCAATTTACAAGCCTTGTTTTGTATTGTATGACATATTTTATTGTAAATTTTATGTTTGTTGTCTAAATACCAATTTATGTGGTCAAAATAAATAATAAAAATTAAGTAGTATTGAATCAAATAGACTAAAAAAAAAAAACTAGGAAACAAACATTCAAATATTGTGGTAATTTAAGAAAATTAAATAGTTGAAAAAACAAACTTAGCTTTTGCGGAGTCTAGGAGGGTAAAATGATTGCAACTTTATCCCAATTTTTAGAGAGATCATTTTTGTGACTCGAATCCGCTCCACCAAGGATGCTAACGACAAACCTTATCATTCAACTAAGCTACTCTTTTGAGTTCTTAATCTATTTTCATATTCAACTTTGTTAAATATTTTTTCTTTACTTTTTATGCATTATTGTAAATTGTAAAGTATTTTGTTATAGAATTATTATTCTTCTGCACCTTCTTTTTTGATGAAATATAAAACTTTTACCATCGAGTTTTCTATTGTATAATATTATATGTACATTTACATAAGAGTATTGTATTTTTCACAATATCTTCACTTCTTTTTAATAGAATATAGGCTCATTTTGTGTATACTTCATAAGAAATATTTATTTAAATTAAATTATTATGTAATTTGTTTTTTTCGGTAGGATCTTATGATCCTCGATCCGATCCTATAAACACCTCTAACGATCCAACGTAAGATCCCGATTTTAACAACCTTGTTCTTAGATGAGTTCAAGTCTTGCTTAGTGAGTACACACCATCAAGACTCGCCATTGTATTTTGGAGAACGACCGCTAGCAAACATTTGCACCAAGAGGGACGAAATCGTTTCTTAAGGACAACGGATTGACTTCCGCACCTCGGTTTCATTATTTCTCTTTTATTTATTATGGGGTTTTGTGGGAAGATGGTTAAAAGCTGTTTTTTTTGGCCTTTTTGTGAGAAAATGAAGTGGGTCAAAAGCTGAGAAGATGGTTAAAAGTATGTTTTTACCTTCTTGTATCTATTTTAGTTTATTAATCAAACAGAGTTTTTATATATATTTTCCAACAAATTTTACTTCAATTTTAAATATACATAGTTGGATTACCATAATAAAACTACTATATGATCACAAATGAAATACAAAATATGTCATTAATACAATATATTGCTCAAGATTCTCTATAGTAGTTTTATTATGGTAATCCAACTATCTATATTTAAAATTGAAATAAAATTTGTTGGAAAATATATATAAAAACTTTGTTTGATTAACAAGCTAAAATAGATACAAGAAGATAAAAACATACTTTTAGCCATCTTCTCAGCTTTTGACCCACTTCATTCTCTCACAAAAAATCCAAAAAAAAAAATCAAAAAACAACTTTTAACCATCTTCCCAAAAAACCCCATAATAAATATAAATAATAGAGAGAGAATGGAACCGAGGTGCGGAAGTCAATCCGTTGTCCTTAAGGAACTATTTTCGCCCCTCTTGGTGCAAATGGTTGCTAGCGATCGTTCTCCAAAATACAACAGCGAGTCTTGATGGTGTGTACTCACTAAGCAAGACTTGAATTTGTCTAAGAAATAACCCAAAAAAACCAAGAAACTATGTAGAAAAAATAGAGAATGTTAGAATTTACCTTAAACCTACCACCACTACCACCTCACCTACTCCACTAAACCTAACCCACTACACCACTACCACCTCCACTTCACCTACTCTCCAACCACTACCACCTCCACTTCACCTACTCTCCACCTACTCCCAAACACACTCCTATATAATAGGAATCCTTGTAATTGTAATAAATACAACACATATCAATCAATCAGAAATCAATCAATAATATATCATTTTAAACAGAGAAGAAAGGAGAACTTTTTATGTATCTTAAACCACTAGGAATGTGTACATATATATAATTCCAAGCCTGAAAGAAAAGGTAAGAATAAATTAAGGAATTATGAATTAGTCAAAATCCCTAGAATTATGAAATAGCTAGTTAATTCCTTAATCATAGTTAATTACAAAAGGAAATGAATCTGACAAAAAATCAATAAGAGAAAAAATATATATAATTCTTAGTCTGAAAGTAAGAAAAAAATAAATTAAGAATTTGATCAAACAAATTCCTTAAATTATAAATCAATCAAAATCCCTTGAATTATGAAATTGCTAATTAATTCCTTAATCATAGTTAATTATAAAAAGAAATGAGTCTTGCTAAAAATCAATGAGAAAAAAAACATATATATATATATATGGACTTCACACATATGGCCCCAAGTTTATGAGTCCGGATCCTCTGCCATGATTCTCTGCAATGGTCCTTGCGATGCCCCAAAACGACGTCATTTTGGGGCCCAAAAAAAAGAAAAGAAAAAGAAAACAGAAACAAAAGATAGAGAGAAGAGACACAGAAGGAAAGGGTTTGTTGGGTTTCTTCTGATCAATCCTCAAGGCTTTCATGGAAGCAGAGATCTTCCAATTCTTTTCATTGGCCTATTGTCTGCACTCTTCACTACATAATGGAGTGTCCCCTCTGCAAATCATACAAATTTGAATAACTCCAAAAACAAAGATGAAAATTTTGTAAGAGAACAAAACAATCAATCCTGTTTGATTGCAAAGAAAATGTAATGATAATTGTACGGGGAGCAAATATTCCGGCGAGCCCGTACTCCTTTCTTCCGAGCTCCGTCTCTGTCCGATCACCTGCGAGCCAATAAGGGTGAGCTACCCGGCGGTGTGTGGCTGGAAAAACCCTCCGACGATCAAGTTAGAACACACACACAGAGGATAGCTAGAGAGAAGGGAGAGAGAGTTTGGGTGTAAGAATTCCTTACAGAGATGTTCGTGTGTCGCGTATGGGGGGCGCAGACATGCTTATATACCTACTGAGCCCCATATCCACTCCCTGTCATCTCCTGACACGTAACTCTGCTATCCCATCTGTCAGCATAAACCATGCCATTCATCACCTAATCTCAACTGCCTGTCATCACAGCTGGAGCTCGGCAGCCGAGCTGCCCTACCTCGGTCATTCCAGGCTTCATACTTCAAGCGCCTAACCGGATAAACACACGGAGGACCGGGCTAAGCGGCATCCCGGCCGAGCCTAGCCCGGATACTTACTTTGATCGGCCTTCCTGCCGGTCATACAGTCTCCTCGGCTGACCACGCCTTTCCGGGCACCGGCCAATCAACTTCCTCGGTTGTCCACGCCTTCCTGGGCGCCGGTCACTCGGCCAATCCGGCTTTGGCCATCCTCGGACCGAGCATCCTGGTCTGACCGAACACTGCCTTATCGAGCAGTTTCTGTCCGGTCCGGGATGACATTCAGCCCGTACTCTACCCGGCCCAAGTTCTGGCAGCCCACTTTGGGCAAAAAGTCGATCATCTCGGACCCATGCACCGTTGGGCCCTCCACTTGCTCGGCCGTTACCTCGGCCCAACTCCAGATCACAATTCACCCTCTCAATAATAGATCAAATTAAAATTTTCGATTTGAATTTCCCATATTGAGAGCAAACTCTCTTGGGTCCAATCAAAAAATATATATTTTTTGAAGTTTCTCAATTTCTAGAGACCAAAATAAGAAACATACACTACAAATTTTCCCTTTCATTTTACTCAGTTTTCTCCACATCCAAACAGAGTGAACAAAATTGGATTTTCCACATCCATCCCATCTCCAATTAGTAAGCCCATATTTTGTAGAGCAAAAAGAATTGGACTTTCCTAACATATATAGAATTTTCTGGGATTAAACAAAATTTTCTCAGAAAATTCAACTTTCCCATAAAAAAAAAGAGAGAAAAACATATAACAGGGTTCTCAAATTCAAAAGAAGAGAGAGAGAGAGAGAGAGAGAGAGAGAGAATGGGACAAACCTGTACATGAAAGATGTATTTGTTATCAAACACTTCACATGAAATCTCCCTCTCCAGCAGCGAAGGCAGGGCGACGTCGAGGGTTTCACAATGAGAGGGTAGGGGTTTTCGTTGGGATCGATTTTGAAGGACCCGGGTCAGAAATTGGTTCTGGGTTTTGGGTAAATCTGCGAACTCCATTGTTAAAGGGAAAAATAGTTTCGATCCTCTTCCTCTCCGGTTCCTCCATCTCCGGCATCTTCTCTTCTTCTTCTTCCTCCTCCTCCTCCTCCTCCTCCCCCTCTATTCCTCCTCTCTTTCTCTCGCCTCTCTGTTTGTTGGGTTTGGTTCTCAAATGTTTGAGAGAGAAGAAGAAGAAAAAAAAAAAGGTTGCCAAAACGACGTCGTTTTGGCACCACCACAGGGACCATTGCAGAAAATCACGGCAGAGAATCCGGGCTCGTGTGTGTATGTGTGTGTAAATCAGCAACAGAGGATAAATATAAGAAATGAATCATATATACCTCATTTAGATTGCCAAGATGCCCTATTCTGAAAACCTTTCCAGCTACTTTATTTAGGCCAAGGCCTAAGCTTAAGTTGTACCTTTTCCAAGCCCTACTAACAATTTCTGAACTATCAAGGTTTGGAGGAACAAGCACAGCAGTGACTGAGTTGCTATGCCATTCCTCCTTTTGAGCGCAGTTCTTTAAGCCCCATGCCTCCACGGCAAGCCTGCATTTTGAAATTGAAAATACTTCAAATTTACTGTTTAGATAATAGCAACAACAAATCATTAATTTAAACTTAATGAAGCATGAGAAGTAGGAAGACTGGTATTTGGCATGGGGTGCAATTCAGGCAGGCCCAACCTGAGCAACCAGAGTCCAACCCACAAGATTTTAAGGATTGGGTAGTATAATTTCAAAGTTGATAAGGGCATGGAATAAAATTTGCCAACTCAAATTAAATCCGATCAGGGCCTGGATAGGAGCTCTTGCAACCCGAGTATCCGAATTCTATTGCAACACGAGTACCCGAATTCTATTGTTAATAAACACGAAATATACATATAAATACTAATGATTTTCCCACCATTGGACTAAATCATACTGCCACCTATTTTAACATATAACTCAAACCATTTTTTTATTTTTATTTTATATATTCTATGTTTGTAATTTTTTGAGATATTTTCTCCTTTTTATTTTCAAAAAGAGCAATACATTAGTTTATGACAACGCAATGGTCAACCCAAGATAATTTTATTTGTGTTGAATTTTGGCAACCTGAGTCTAGTCTAAACTCTTTTTGAGTTAAACTCGGGCTCGGCTTGGGCAAACCAGCTCAAGTAGCAGCCATAATTTGGGATCAGGAATCACTTGACATGAAGTTCATTAACCAATTGGGAAAATATCATGAATAAACTAAGGAAGGAAGTCATGAATAAAATCGAGTGTACAAAGCAACCTCTGTCAAATAAGAAATATCAACTGTTAAGATTAGATAAATTTTACAGAATGATTTTGAGTAAATAAATAAACCTAGAGTTTGTTGGCATACTCATAAATAGATACACGAGACAAATCAACATATGAATGCTTCATGAATATGGGGCATATTGTTGACTCCTGAAAATAGTCAGAGACTTATCACAAGGGAAAGGAATGCCTAACCTTGTTGCTTTTGCTAGGCGACTATGCCTTGCAATCACATTGTCAAGTCCTTCCTCAAATATAAGATCTAGTGATGCTCTCAGTCCGTATAACAAATGGATGGAAGGTGTGTATGGCCAATAAGTTTCCAACTTATAGGCCTTCAAGTAATCATTCCAGTCAAAGAAAAATCTAACTGATTTTGCAGTTTTGGAGGCCCCAAGAGCTTTAGGGCTTGCACACACAATTCCCATCCCAGTGGGCAGAGAAAGAGCTTTCTGAGAACCGGTTAAAGCCACATCTATTCCCCATTCATCCATGCGGAAATCCAGTGCACATATGGAGGAAACTCCATCAACGAGAATGAGTGCCGGATGCCGATAGTGATCTGAGAATCATGTGATGAAAATGAGAACAACCTCATCAATCCAGAGTGGTTGAAAAATCAAACCACACCTGGAAAAAAAACAACTGACAAAATGAAAATACACCAAAGATAATATATGCATTGGCAAATCAAAAACAACAGTTTTAGCAACTGGACAATTCAAAAAGTAAAGTAAAATAAATTACAATAGAAAGAAAAACACAAAAGAAATGGGGCAGTGAAAAATTAAAATAAGCATGTTCTCATAGAAAAAGATTTTGGGTACTTTTGATTTGCTTAAAATGCACTTTATTCCTTAAGTTTAGACAGTCCATATTTAGTAAAAAATTACATTGATATAAAAAAAAAAAAAAAAAAAAAATATGGTAGCAAACATAAAATACTGAAATGTTGAGTGTAATTTCAGAAGCTCAAGTACAGTATCGAATACAGACTTTGATGCACGCCCAACCAAATATTTACTATAAGAAATAGTGCTAAATTCTTACCAAGGATTTTTCTTACAGCAGCTAAGTTGTTGGTAACTCCTGTAGCTGTCTCGTTGTGCACAATGCAAATGGCCTTGACAGTATGAACGGTATCTGCTGCCAGCTTTGATGCCAAAACTTCAAGATTGGCACCTTGACCCCACTCACTTTCAATGACATCAACATTGAAGTTGAGGCGTCGCTGTTGATCAATCCAGAGCAAACTGAATTGGCCAATTAGAAAAGACACAATCTGATCTCCAGGAGACAAAGTGTTTGTAAGTGCACTTTCCCATGCACCAGTACCTGTACCAAAACAGCAACATTATGCCGCAAATTAGAAGTAACATACAACAAGAAAGTTCTTAAAACCATGGCATCTGAATTCTTAATAGAACCTTTGACATTCCTAGGAAAATGAATCACTTCATGCCATTTTCTATTGCATTCAAACCCTTATTTCATCCTTTGAAACAGTCATTAAAAACATATCTGGAGGTTCAGAAATACCATGAAAATTATTTTATTACTGAAAATATGAATGCATTAAGTTCTCAACTTAACAAGATTAAACCCAATTTGACTTCCATTAATTTACATGAACAATGTTGCTCTAGTCACTTAAGAAAAAGTCCATCAAACTATTTATTAATTAGTCTAAAATGCCACTTTTAGGCCCAATTTATGCCATTTACAAAATTTCCACCCCAACGGAATCCCGGCAAAAAACTGTTGCCCTGTCAAGAAACAAAAAGGGAGTAACTTTCCAAAATCAATATACTAGCTCCTATTTAGCATATCAACAGTTGGTATCTGACATGCATCACATTGAAATTGAAACCTATCTGTCTCTGCATGATATTGAAAAGAATTAACTCCAATCGAAGCAGTACCTGTAGTTGGAATCAGAAATGGGGTTCCAGTTGTAGTCTTGAAAATCTGCTTGATGTCCTCAAGTAGGGTTTTTGTCAGTGCTGGGATGGCAGGAGAGCGATAATCCTCATTGTTCCTGTTCATTGCACGAATAACGTGCTCCGGGATATTGACTGGCCCCGGAACAAAGAGGTGGTTCCTCCCAGGTCCATAAAAATTGTCCATCTTTGACTTGAGTAATGAAATTCAACAAATTCCCGATGCTCTCAAGGGCCAAAACCTCAGCTGCAAAAACCCCAAACCCTAAACAAACCAATATTGATTCCATTCTAAAACTAACAAACTTTACACAACTACGAACACATGGAAATATCAATATTAATTTATTAGAAATAAAGAAGGGGATCAGAAGCATTTGTATTACCCAAATTTTATTAACTACATATGTTTGTGAAAGAGCACATTGCCTATAAAACCTAATAAAATGTATGGATGCCATTTTCTTTTCTTTTTTTTTTTTTTACTGAAATATGTATAAAATTAGGATTTAGGAGCAAACTTCATTTTTCTTTAATAATTTTTTTAATTATTCTCCCAAAATCACTAATTAAAAATTAGGTCATCCAGGTTTTCAGGTGATTTTTGTGGCTGTTTATAGGAGATATATTATGGATTGATGAAACAATCCCTAAACAGAACCACGACGTAGCAATTGAGAAATTGAATAATCTCAATTCAATCTAATAACAAAACAACCCCCACCACCCCAACTTGTTAAATTTACTGATCAGGTTATTTAAAAGACAATTCATCAATTCGATTCAACCGTTTCAATAATTTGATCCATCAATTAAAAAATTTGACACAGAAGAATCAAAAAATACAAATTTTGATAAAGCAAACACACAAAAACAACAAAAAAAAAAGAAGCAAAACACAATCAAAAGTTACGATCAAAGAGACGACGATCAAACAGTACAGTAGTATAGTAGAGAGAACATGTATGAGTTTGAGGTGATGATTCAGAAGGAGAGCAATTAATTACCTTTGTGGAGGTCTTCAAAGAGTTGTGCAGAGCATAGCGATCATAGTGGAAGACAAAAAACATACCGAAGGCTTCTTAGGTGTCGTTTGGGAAGGGAGTTGGTTTTTGGTTTTTTTAGTTTTTTTGACTATTTTAATTTGGGCTAAAAAGTTTAGTTTGAGAAAGTTTTTTTAACTTTTTGATTTTTTTGACTTTTTTTTTTATGAGAGAAGAATGTAATGATTATGAGTTCGATGTAATATTTTATTTGTTGCGACTAAAATAACCTATTTTATTTTTTGTGACTATTTTAGCCCCAAATCAAGCTCACAAACAATGCCTATATAGTGCTAATAATGCTCTGCCAAATAATTTTTTATTTATTTTTTTATTTTATAAGAGCGCGGGAGTCCCACAAAAATGTTTTTTTGGAGAGACATTTTCAGAAGAAAAATATTTTTTAAGAAAATATTTTTATATTTGGTGGTGGTAATGATAATGGTGAATCGAAGATGAAGGTAAAGGTGAAAATGGTGACTGCGGTTATAGTGACAGTGATGGTCACAATGGCCGTGATGGTGGAGGTGAAATTGGTAGAGGTAGTGTGGTGATATTGGTAAGATTTTAATTGAGTAAATATTTTTTACTTTTTAAAAGTAGAAAATATTTCCTACTTATATAGGATTTTTTCTATTGACCATGAATTTTTTTTTTGGTTAACTTTTATTTATTGTACCAAATACCAAAAAATATAAAAAATATTACGTAGAAAATATTTTCTGCCCAAACAAATAGAGTGTTAATATTTGGTAGTGGCGGTAATAAAATGAAAGTAGAGGTAGAGGTGTTGGGACGAAGGCGGTAGTGATTATAGTAATGGCCATAATAATGATGGTATGGTGGCGGAGGTGAGCGACGGTGGTAATGTGATGATATTAATAACATTTTAGTTTGGAAAACATTTTCTCCTTTTAAAAGTAAAAAGATATTTTTTGCTCGTATAAATTTATTTTTTATTGATCATAAAAAATATTTTTCGTTAACTTTTATTTCATTGCACCAAACATCAGAAAATATAAAAAATTCTTTTCTCCAAACAAACGGAACATTAACGTTGGTTTGAAAATTATTTTCTTTAATAACTTTTAAATTTTTTTATTAAAAAAAAAGTCTTAAAAAATAAAGATGATAAGTTTAATTTCTTTTTAGTCAATTACACTGCTTCTGTACTTTAAAAAATTAACTATTAATTAATGAAAAAACTTATTACTTTGAACTTTAATGTATGTAAAATTTATCATTAATTTAAAAATATTTTTATAAATTTACACTTAATTGATATTGTCCCAAATTTTAAAATCTAAAATTAAAAAAAAAAATAAAAACAGAGGCCGAAAAATAATGTATAAATAAAATTTTACTGGAGCTGTTAATAGGGTGTACTTAAAAAAAAAAAAAATTATTTGTCCACATTTGTGACCGAGGTTTATGTTGAATTATTTATTGCTTATTTTTTTGACTTGTTTTTGTTTTTTCTAAAATTTTTGCACCTTTGAATGCAAAAAATTAGTTTTAAGACAGTCAATTTTATTTATAAAAAAAAAAAATCAGTAACGATAAAAATAAATCAAATTTTATCAAACACAAAAATTACAAAAATGAGCTTATTTTTACCTTTTTTATACTTTTTAAAAACAATAATTTTTAATATTGTCTCGTCAAGGCAAATTGAAAAAAAATTGACATAATATTGAAAAAAACAACCATACTAAAAAAAGTCATAAAAATATAGTTTATTTTGCCGTAAAATATGCTCTACCCTCCATTTATTTTTATATTTGAAAATGTTATATAAATAAATTTTGCGATGAAGTGATTTTCTATACAGAAAAGAAAGAATGCGAACGAGATAATAAAAGGAATGCAAAGAGAAATCAAACACAAACAAAATGAAATGACTGATTATCCCAACACTTTGATATCATATTAAGCTATTATGAAATGAGTCTAACAATATCTATATAGTTCTCTAACACTGTACATATGAGCTATTATAAAAATTACAAGAGAAATTATACAAGAATAGTAGTTACATTATTAGAGGGATATGCCATAATGCCAGTACATAAAAATCATCTATATATGGAATCTATACATTTGAATCCCAAGGATTTGTATGTTTTACAATATCAACATTGGATTGTCAACTTATTTAACTTGAGCAGTTTTAAATAAGTCCTCCCATTTTTGTGGATCACTTCCCGGTCCTTCACCCTGCACAACATGGAAGTTTTATGAAATAGTAACTATACAAACATAAAATATGTATAAAAAATGTATACCTATCACTTTTAAACACAAAAATTCACCAAGATAATTCTTAATATCGAAACCGCCACTCTCTTACCATTCACTGATTCTGTATCAAAATTCTAGAAAAATAGCATGTTCCTTTCAGAAAGACAATGTGTATTTAAATTACAAAAGTTGTTGATGTAATTAAACAATCCAATTTCTCACAGCAACCTCTCAATTTTGTCCAGTGATGAATTTAGACGACAACTAAAGTGTTCAAAATGGAATAACTCATCATCATACGTCTATGTAAATAGAATAGAATGTTCAAACACTCACAAAATATATTTCAATTCAGTCATCTAAGATAATTACCTGGACTGAGTTGATTTCGTAAATTTCACCTTTGGTAAGTTCTATGTCCAATGCCTGTATGCAAGCTTCAGCAACTACAAGCCTGCTAGCCTCACCAACAAGTTTATCTCCTGCAAGCAACCGCAAAAGATGCTAACATCAGTTAATAGGTAGAAAACTAAGCGAGCAGAATCTTCCTTAATTGTACACATCTTGAAATATTGGTATCCATCCTATTGGCATCCCATGTTGGTTGTAGACGATATCTAAGATAGACTTATAGGATAGTACAGGACACCTCCATTGTCGAGGTGCCATTTTGGTTATAGCCCAAATGGACAAACCCGTGAGGCTGGCTGTTGGGCGGGACCATAATAAACAATATTTCTAGGTGGGGGCTGGGCCACGTGTCACCCCCATTGTTGAAGCGCCTTCTAGGTTGAAGCCCAAAAGGGCAAACTTGTGAGGTTAGCTATTGGGCTGAGCCACAGCAGACAATACTTCCAGGTGGAGGCAAGGCCGAGCATCGAACACATTTGAATTACCATCATGAGATAAAAGGAAAATTATTGAATTGCCCACATGTTAGTTAAATTCTACCATAACCACCCTTAATTAAAAATGCACTTCTTAAACACATTAAGAAGAGAACCATTTCAATTTTTTATGCCTTGCAACAACACAACTTTATTTTACTTCCCATAAATTGATCGCTAAATTGCCTTTACTCTTTGAAATCCAAGTTAGCATGCCATATCAAAAAGATTTTTTGAAAAGAAAAAAAAAAAAGTTGCACCAAAGACCTTATAGAATGAACAAACAAGAAAATCGGGGCGTATAAGAGAGAGGCCAAAGCTATTCATGTCTTTTGGTCCCAAAGCACAAGCATCGAGCAAGACATGCCACCCATTTTCCTGTGCCATGCTCATCCATTGATAAGAGTAACTAGTTCCTGTAACTCTGGATTGAAGAGGGAACACAAACAGTCCCCTGTTTTTCTGCTTCTTCCTCTTCCTCACAACCATCGTTTTCAATTTTTTTTCGAGTGAATTCTCAGTCTAGGCCACGTGAATTCCGCTGACCTGACTCGAGCTCCTCTCTTCTCTGCAACAATAGTCATGGCTTCAACCGCTTCACTCTCGTAGTCATAAACGGTCAAAAGCTTCCGACTAGATTGGAATGGGTATGATTCTGCAAGAAGCTTAAAAGCCGATGACCTGTTTACGGTAAAAACCATGCAGTAATCGTTTTCAGAGATATTGAGAAAATCCATGATCTTTTTTTTTTTTTTTTTTTTTTTTTTTTTTTTTTTTTTTTTTTTTTTTTTTTTATGGAGGATTCCAATTCAGATCCTTCCCCACCATGAAGTAGCTGCGACTTGAGATTCACAGACTTGTAGGACACACCGAAGAATGGAAAATCCGAAGATTGAGGCGGGGGAGAAGAAGAGGAGGATGCAAGACTACGGCGGCCACGAGATCGAAGCCTAAGCTGGAATCTGCGTCTTCGGACTCTTTGGCGGCTGCGTAAGCGTTCCAATCGGCGAGCAAAGACGACGACGATTTCTGCAGATCGTTGCTGCTACTGGGGCCTCCGGCGAACCATGCTTGGACAGTTTTCTGCATAAGCTGGAATCTGCTTCTTCGAGATCTCAGGTAATGAGGTTGAGGTTTGTGCACTGGTATGTGGGTGAGAGTATGGAGGAAGGAGAGAGAGAATTTGAAAATTTGGGTTTGTCCGGCGGACGGCCAAGGTGAGGCTGCCGCCCGCCGGTGAAGCGGAATCACTAATTTCTTAACCTTGCTCTGATACCATGTAAAAATATATTGATGTATATTATTGATTGATGTATTACAAGATTGATAAATTACAATTCCTATACAATCTATATATAGAAGAAAAATGTGGTAGTAGGTGTAGTGGAGGTGATAGTGGGTTAGGTGAAGTGGAGTGTGTGGTGAAGTGGAGGTAGGTGAAGTGGAGTGTGTAGTGGAGTAGGTGAAGGTAAAGATGGGAAATTCTAACACTTCGGTATGCCACTCCAGCATGTCCGACTAGAAGAAAAAAAAAATGGGGCACTTCCTCCATTTATCTTTTCTCCCATTCCACCAGTCCTTTAACCCTTGACCGAGGTGTTAGCAACTCAGGTCCAAGGAACAGAGTTTGGAGATGAATGAAAATTTTCTAAATATTGAATAAAAGATAGCAATTAGGTGTCTCAGACCTGATTATAGTATATGGAAGACCAGCATTGCGAACAAAGTCCTCCCCCATCTTCTTATACTTGAGAACGCCAAAAAGGTTCATGATGCTACAAGAAAAAAGTTAAGAGAGAGTAAAACAAAATAAAAAAGGAAACAAGGAGGAAAAAAAAAAGTTTTAATGTTCTATATATCCAAAAGTAAGGAACATTATGGGGTTAATAACCAATTTGAGATTTGCACCAAACAAAGACAATTTTAAATTCCCACCATGCGTGTGCATACATGTCTCCAAAAGCACACAAAAAAGTCTAATAGAATCATATGCCACGAAAGAAAGCAATGAAGCATAAGTGAAAAGGTCATCAGAAAAAGTGAGTTAATGAACTAGTTCAAATATTGATCATGTTCTGCAAAAGAATAACCGGAACGGATAATTAAGAAAAGAGTTAATGAACCACAAAACACTTTTCAACGACTTACACCTATCATTAATTACTATCAAATATAGGAGCAGTACCTCCAAGGTAGTTCATTGAACTTTGTTACTCCAACTGATGAAACAAGAACAATTCTTTTCAAGGATGGAGGCAGAGCAGATACAAGATTTCTCACACCTTCCCAATCTTCAAAGGTAAAGATAAACAGTTAAAAGCATTTAAGGTACTAAAGAAGTGCCATGCACAACACACATGCAATGCATTACAAGACAGTGAAATTTTGAACTCCAACCAGTATCCAAAGCTGTTTTGCGTCTTATATGCATATATATGTGTGTGTGTGTGTGTGTGGACAGGCAATAATAAACAGACTTCCCAAGACTTTGAAATGGAATAGTACAATGACTATGTAGATCCTATTTGATTCAACCTCGTGAAGCCTATGCTTCCAGGATAAGCATAATGAATTTAGTTTTGAGGATAATATTTGTCTGATTATCCCTTATAGAGCCAAATTTTAGTATTTCTAGAATTTTGACTCACATTCTGGGAAATTTACAACATCTTCTGTTGTAATTGCAATCTGTCCACAGAACATAACTATGAAGCACTGAAATTACACTTTATAGACTTTGATTGCTTTACAGTTTTGTTTTGTTTGCCACTTTACAGCAATCATAGTTGTTTTATCTTCACCAGCAGCTGTTTGAAGCCTCAGCAATGCTCCATTCTAAACCAACTAAAATAATCAATAACAAATAATCAAATATAAATAAAATACTAATTTTGATCCTGACCTACTCTTTCTGGTGTATTATCTCCATCCCATCGCCTTGATGGAAAGGCCGTCGTTCCCGTGCAGCAAATAACATGTGTGACACCCTATAAGGCAACTTTCTAAATCAATAAAAAAAATTTCACCATCAACGATCATGCAATTCATAAAGTTGAGGAGCCATTTTAATTCTTCTAAAAGAAGCTCAGAAAAAATGTGTTACATGAATTGAAAGCACAAACCTCAAATATTGATGGATCTAGATCCTCAGCGTTTCGAGTGTCGCCTTTCCGTACCTAACAATTTAAAAACTCTTTTCAAGTATAGAAATGTATATCTTGAAGGACAAGAAGAGAGTTGCAACCAAACATAAAACTGAAATGGAAATAAAAGAAAAACAAAAAATAATTTGTCAATGCCAACAGTGTGATACATAGAGAAATAGAAACCATACCTCTAATTTTTCCTCATCTTGGTTACCAAAAAGGGTAGCTGCTTTCTCAGGATCTCGTAGTAATAGCCGTGACTTGATATTTCGGTTGAGCAATGATGCTACAACTAACTGTCCTGCATAAAGAATATGATAGAATGTCTATGGATTACTATGAAAGTGTGACAAAACAAAACCAACAACAATAAAAACGTTAAATTCCATCACAAATGGGATGATACATATTATTCAACTTTAATTAGTGCAGAAGTTTCTTCTTGGAATGTATACATGAACTTTAGCACTTGCTTGCTTGCAGTTCATAGAGATCAAGATTTGGTTGATTAGGTTGCGTCCGTGTTACATGGAGTTTCTATTTCTCCCAAAATAACAAGGGGAAGGGTGTAAAATATGTATCCGACACCTATACCAAATTTAGACACTTGAATCCTCATCAAACATTTCTAGCTTTGTCATTCCCTTATGCCGAGTGTTCAGTTATTTATCCAAAAAAAAAAAAACTAGAGAAGAGAATGAGCCGAGACTTGAACTCAACGCCACAAATTTGATAAGAAAAACTCTTATCACTTACTTTTATTTATTTAACTTACACATGCATGTGTGTGCACCCATATTCAATTTTTGGATGGATATCGTAAAATCTAAATTTATGAAGGTCGGACGCTTATCCTCACCGCACCCGAGTTCATGTAACATAGGATTTGCATTGCATGAATATTACTAAACAAAACCATAAACTTTATATGATATAAATCATTGTGAAAGATGAAGAGAGTGCATATACCTACGCCACCAGAGCCGCCAACGACAAGGACGAACTTGGAAGAAGAAGGAGGGACAGTTTCAGAGTCCTGGGTCGATTCTAAATTTGGGGATTGTATCAATTGCTCTTTCACAGCAGCACACACTGATGATGATGATGATGATAAGGCTCTAGAGCTCGAAATGGTCTTAGATAAATGAAACCCAGAACATGAATTGAGTGTTAGATGAGGAAAAATAGGGATTGTTAGAGGGGGTTTTGAGAATTTTTCTCTGGGAAAGTGAAGGTCGCTTTTGAAAGTGAATGAGAGCTTGGAAGCCATGAACGAGGCGGCAACGAAGAACAGCAACACAACGAAGAGATGGAACCAGAGAGTGAGTGGTTACAAAAATAGAACGAGTAAATTACACTTGGCTCCTTTATGTTTAAGCATTTTTTTACTTTGACCCTCGAAACCTTTTTTCCTTTGTATTTTGACCTTTTCTGTTTCAAAATTTTCCCAAGAGGGTGCTACATCCCTCAAATTTTGTCCTCTAATTTCATCTCTAATGCCGTGGTATACTCCTGTGTGAAATAGTCCCGTACACTCTCTAATGCCGTGGTACACTCCTGTGTAAAATAGTCCCGTACACTCTCTCTCTCTCTCATCTTTACTCTCCTTAGAGCATTATTATCAAACTTATTAAAATTTTTACTTAGCTATTTTATAGCATGAAATTATGGAAATACACTCCATCAAACTTAATTTTTAACTATTTATTTTAGTTTAACATCAAACCACTAACTACATATAATTAGAAAAAGAATACTCAACAAATGAAATAAAGAATAAAGAGTTTGTTAGAGAATATATTTGAAAAGATGATTAACTAAAATGGAAAAATATAGTTTTAGTTAAAATTTAACTAAAAATTTGACTGTTTTGATGAAGATACTCTCAGTTCCAAATCATCAGAGGTGGAATTAGGGGAGCAAAATTAGAAAAATGAATCATTATTCTTTTCTCAATTTACTCTTAAAATTAATTTATGTTCAAAATTAAACAAAAAATACCAACATAATATATATAAAAAATTGTTATTATATTGGGATTTTGATTTTTGTTGAAAGTGTGAATTATATATAATAAAATATTTTTATATTACGTGGTTCTCATGTGTTATTTTATGTATAATTATGGACATAAATTAAATTTTGTAATTAAAAAAAATGATACATGAAAGGTAAATATATATATATATATATAAAACTTTAAAAGTCAAATTTAATTTTAAAAAATAATTAAACATAAATGGAGCAAAATATAATCTACCCAAAATACAACTCAACTTATGTCGGGGTGGTTCTGTTACAAATACGCTTGATTACTGGGTTTTTATTTGGGACAAGAAATTGTATTTATAATAACGATAGTTAATTACCCGTGACTCCCTAAATTATTCCTAGTAAAATATTAGTTTGACCTGTATTCATGGAATTCATATTTTTTGACTTTTTTATATAAAAATGGAAAATGATTGGTGGCCCTAAAAAATTTGCCCCTAATGCCCCTAATTTCCATTTTTGGAAACTGTTTCTTTTTTTCTTTCTTTTTTCCTTTTTTTTTTTTTTTTTTTTTTTTTTTTTTAAAGGGATTTTTGGGGTATTTATTGCGAATTTACTGAGTAATTTACTAAGAATTTAAAGGGAATGTACTGAATAATTTACTGAGAATTTAATGTATAATTTACTGCGAATTCACTAAGAATTTACCGGAAATTTAATGTGTAATTTACTAGAAATTTACTGAGTAATTTACTGGCAATTTTCTGAGTAGCTTACGGGGAATTTACTTGTAATTTACTGAATGATTTTATTAGGAATTTACTGAGTAATTTACTGAGTAGTTTAATGAGAATTTACTAAGTAGTTTACTTTGAATTTTCTGGGAATTTAAAGAGAATTTATTGGGAATTTGCCAGGAATTTACTGAGTAATTTACTGAAAATTTCTGAGTAATTTATTAAGAATTTAGTGAGAATTACTAAGAATTTATTGAATAATTTAGTAAGAATTTACTTTGAATTTACAGAGTAATTTCCTGGGAATTTACTAAGTAATTTACTGAGTATTTACGGGGAATTTACGGAGAAATTTACTGAGAATTTATTATGAATTCACTGACTAATTTACTTAGAATTTACATACAATTTACTGGGAATTTTCTGCTTAGTTTACTGAAAATTTAATGGTAATTTACTGAGTAATTTACTTAGAATTTACTAAATAATTTACTGAGAATTTACTATGAATTTATTGAGAATTTTCTAAGTAATTTACTTTATAATTTACTGAGAATTTTCTAAGTAATTTAATGAGAATTTACCGAGTAATTTACTCGAACATGTGTCGGCTAGAGGGTTACAAGATGAGGATTCAGAAGAAAATGGTTTGTATGGGTTTAAGGGACCTCGGCTGAACCTGAACGGAACAAGGGGAAGGGTTTTCAGAGATCAAAGGGAGATTGTTACGTTTCCCTAAAGTTTGTGAGTTCTAAGGCAAATCCCAAACCTAAGAGCTATTGCAACAGAAAATTAGAGCAAGAATCTGGAAAATAAGACAAAGAAAGCAGAAAGGAATGTGATTTAGAACCCAGAAAGCACAAATCCAGAACGATTGTACAAAAGTGTGTGCAAATGAGCAAAAACGAGAGAACAGTTGCAACAGACAGTGTGTGCACCAAATGTGTACCTAGAAAATGGCACAAAAGCAAGATCGTGAACGATATGATGAAATTCAAAACATAGATGAAGAATTAAAGAACTTGAATGCATTCAGAAGAACAGTGTACAGTGTAACAGAGTTCGAAGTAAATTAAAAAACTGAAAATAAGGAAAGAACAGTGAAGCTACAGAGAAAATGAGGCCGGTATGCAGTCGCGAGTCAGACGGTGGCAATAAATGGAGAAGAACAGCAAATGCTTGCCGGATGAGGTAGATAGAGTGCTTACAGAGAGCTCAAAGAAGCACAATGAGGTAGGATTTTATAGAGAGAAAAACTTGAAGCTTGGGAGAAGATGAAGCAAAGTGCAAAGACGAGAAGAGAGAGAAGAGACGTTTTTTATCAAAACAGAAAGGTATCAAAATTGCAATTAGTGTGCTTAGGACGACGTGCCATCAGGCGTGTGCGTAGAAGCGACGTACCTGATGGCACGGGTCAGGTACGGTTCAATAGGAGAGACGTGTGGCGAAAACGGTTGAGTTACTGTGCGTGACAGCTCATACGCGTGTAGGAACTCTTGGAGTTCTTATTTTAATGAAGCAAAGACCTCAGTTAGGGAACGATCTCGGTAGAACTTGGAAAACTTGGCTCTTGGTTCTAAAGCATTGACAAAACACACTGAAGTCTTGGTATATGGAGCCGATATGTGATACCTCGGTAATGAGGATAGAGTTAAGCTTTAGCCGACATGCTATATGAGCGAATGATATAGGTTTCATCACCTCAATATGCTGAGGTAATAGAACCTAGGGGGCAGTTGTGGGGATATTTTTTGAATAACAATACATGGCCAAGGTGGCACCGAAGTGCCAGCCGAGTGCACGTGTCCTGGTCATGCGCCGAGGTGATCTCGGCTAGGTCGAGGTTGTCTGCGAAGATTCGGAATCGAGATGAACGGATGAAGATAAGAGTCCTAGAAAGAGGGAGGACCTCAGCCTGAATAAGGATAAACTTTTAGGGAGTTTATCTTTATCTATTGGAGAGTCCAGGGTGAGCATTGGGCCAAAGTCCAAGGGAAGCTAGGCTTCTGCAGGGATCAGGTTAGTGCTGACTATAAAAGTAGGGCACCTCATGGTCTAAGGTATTACTTTTTGTATTCTGACTAGTGAGTAAAACACTATTGTTATTTGAGAGATAATTGAGTACTGACTTGATTGTCGGAGTGCCCGGCGTGGACGAACCACCGCCGAGTTCTTATCTTTCTATGAAGGTCGTTCGGGCACAATCTATTCAGCTGGAGGTGTTCTCCAAACTGAATTACCTATTTGGCAGTGTGATCAGAAAACAACACATACTAATGTAACTATGTTAAAAATTATAAATTTATATTTTTGTTCAAATTTTAGAGAAGTCAATTATAATTTATCCTTATATAAATTATTATTTTATGATTAATTCACCCCATAGTTAAATATTTTTACATTTTAGAAAATTGGTTTAGGAGAGGCGAAGGTGATGTTTTTTTATATTAAAAAGTCCAAAAAAATATGAATTTCCATGAATAAAGGTCAAAGTAATATTTTACTTAGGAATAATTTAGGGCGAGTCACGGCTAATTAACACCTAAAGCATACCCATGAGGTCGGCTAAGAGGGCTTAAGATGAGAATTCAGAAGAAAATGGTTTGTATGGGTTTGAGGGACCTCGGCTGAACCCGAAACGGAAACGGGGGAAAGGGTTTTCAGAGATTCAATGGGAGATTGTTACAGTTTCCCTAAAGTTTGTGAGTTCTAAGGCAAATCCAAACCTAAGAGCTATTGCAACAGAAAATTAGGAGCAAGAATTTGGAAAATAAGACAAAAGAAAGTAGAAATGAATGTGATTTAGAACCTAGAAAGCACAAATCCAGAACGATTGTAACAAAAGTGTGTGCAAATGAGCAAAAAATGAAGAACAGTTGCAAGATAACAAGTGTGGCACCAAAGTGTACCAGAAAAAGATGGCACAAAAGCAGGATCGTGAACGAATATGATGAAATTCAAAAACATAGATGAAGAATTAAAGAACTTGAATGCATTCACAAGAAAAGTGTACTGTTAATAGAGTTCGAAGTAAATTAAAAAAAACTGAAAAAAAGAGGGAAAGAACAGTGACGTATAGAAGAAAATGAGGCCGGTATGCAGTACGCTGGAGTTAGACGGTGGCAGTAAATGGAGAAGAACAGCAAATGCTTCGCCCGATGAGGTAGATGGAGTGTTGCAGAGAGCTCGAAGAGAGGCAACAATGGAGGTAGGTTTTTAGAGAGAGAAAAACTTGAAAGCTTTGGGAGAAGAAGATGGAAAAGTGAAAGACGGAGAGAGAGAGAGAGGCATTTTTTATCAAAAACACGGAAAGGATACAAAATTGCAATTAGTGTGCTTAGGACGACGTGCCCGTCAGGCGGTGTGCGTAGAAGCGACGTGACCTGATGGCGCGGGTCAGGTACGGTTCAATAGGGAAAAAGGACGCGTGGCGAAAACGGTTGAGTTACTGTGCGTGATAGCTCATACGCGTGTAGGAACTCTTGGAGTTTTGATTTAATGAAGCAAAGACCTCAGTTAGGGGGAACGATCTCGGTTAAGGAACTTGGAAAACTTGGCTCTTGGTTTAAAGCATTGACAAAACACACTGAAGTCTTGGTCATATGGAGCCGATATGTGAT